AGCCAACCAATCAATCAATCGAGTAATCCATTATCCAATCGCCAAAATGGAACCAGAAACGACGACGCCAATAAGTAATACCCCTCCAACCCCGACAATCAATGCCGAATGGATCTACGAAACCTATAAGCAACAACAACAGACCAACGCCACCATCCTACAGCTACTCCAAAACCTACAATCACAACCAAAAACTCAATTGGAACCTGTAGTTCAACTAAACTCCCTAATCTAGCCTCAGACTGCAACTATTACCCCTCGTACGACCTTCCGGCCTAAGCACACTCTTCCACAACCAGAATACTCTCATTCGGACCCGTCTACATACCCCCAATTTAGAGGCCTTCTAAGCCAGAAGCTTAGGGTAGATGCCCTAGCTTGTGGCGACTCGGAACGGGACTAGGTATGGTACGGCTTCGCTTGCTTAAAGGGGGAAGCCTCCTCTCGCATCTTCCTCTGGATCGACTATACCGAGAAGGTCGGAACACAATTCATAGTATAAGCCTTCCTAGAACAGCTAGACACAGCCTTTTCGGATCCTCAAAAGGTACAGAAGGCTATGGCTAAGGTCAACCAAATCAAGCAGGGAAGGAAGCTATTCTGGGAGTACTTACAAGAGTTTGAACAGACTCTTTTAGAAGTAGGTGGCTGGGGATGGGACGATATAGTCAAGAAAGGGTTCCTCAAAGCCGGGATTAACTACAAATTGAAGTCGCTCTTAGTCTCTTAATCGGAACCACCCTTGTACACCGGGTACGTCAGCCTCCTACGACTCACCTCGGACAACCTTGAAGCCCTCGAAGCCTCTTCTTTATTCTAGCCTCGAGCCCCTCCAAAAACCCCTGAAGTTATGGATTGGCAACTAACCAACAGAGTCTTTGTATCAAAGGAGATACAGAGCTCTAGGATCGCTAATGACCAATGTCTTAAGTGTGGGAAGCTAGGCCATATAGGTCGAGACTGCCGAATAGGATGGAGGCTCCCACAGGCTATGGTAGCCCAGCACGGACTAGTTATGGCCTAGTAAGAAACTGAGAAGGTTACGGACTCGGGAAAAGACTAAACCCTGTACGAAGTCGTGTACAGGGGGAAAGAAAGGCCGTCTTTAAGGCAATTATCGAGAATACTCTACCCCAGAGTACACAAGAGCAATGGAAGGATTTTAAAAAGGATATGTTTTGTGAGCCATTTGCTATATCCGGATTTATTAACGGAATAGCCCAAGCTAATATAATGGTAGACTCAGGTTGTCTTTCCTATGCTTTATGTGACCCTCGATTTGCTAGACAAAATGGCCTCGAACGCATTTTAGTCTCTCCTCTTGGATTAAAAGGCTTTGATGGGTCTAAGGATAGGATAGCTACTGAGGTAGCTATCTTAGATATAGACCTTGATGGCTATACGGAACGGATTTTTGCTTATATTACACTTCTCTCAGGTCATGATGTCTTTCTTGGACTACTATGGATTTACAAACGGGATGTTCACTTGCAAGGGGACCAAAAGACCCTCCGAATCGGCACCAATGGCCCCACGATACGATCTCAAGCCACTTAAGAATTAGTGCTTTCGGCCATTGATCAGCCACACTTAGTCTTTGTTGTAGCCTTTGCACGTGCTACTAGACAAAAGTGCCAAGTATTCGCCGCTAGTGTAGCCGATATTAATAAGGCTCTACAGAAGCTAGAGGCCCAAGCAATAGTTCTAGATTTGTCGAAGCTCCCGGCCCACTATCACCAATTTTTACTTGTCTTTAACCGACGCGAAGCCGATAAACTACCACCCCTAAGGGGTACCGGAATCGATTATAATATCGAACTAGATAGCCAAGTCGAACCGCCCTAGGGACTCCTATACAGCATGTCAAAGGACGAACTATTAGTACTACGGAAGACACTCTTAGACTATTTAAGCAAAGGCTTTATCCGAGTTAGCAACAGTCCGGCAGCAGCCCCAGTACTATTTGCCAAGAAGCTAGGAGGAGGCCTACGATTTTGTGTCGATTACTGAGCCTTAAATAAGCTTACTAAGAAGGATCGTTATCCCTTCCCCTTGATCCAAGAAACACTACAATCCTTAGCTAAGGCTAAATGGTTTACTAAACTCGATGTTATTGCAGCTTTCCATAGGCTACGCATAGCTTAAGGGGATGAATGGAAAACTGCTTTTCGAACCCGTTATGGCCTTTACGAATGGCTTGTTACCCCCTTTGGCTTAGTAAATGCCCCAAGTACTTTCCAAAAGTATATTAATTGGGTCTTACGGGACTTTCTCGACGACTTTTGCTCGGCTTATATAGACGACATCTTGATTTATAGCTCAGGTTCTCTCCAAGACTATAGGACTAAGGTTAAGAGCGTACTCTTTAGACTATAAGAAGCAGGCCTACAATGCGACCTAGGGAAGTGCGAATTCGAAGTACAGTCAACAAAATACCTCGGGTTTATTATTGAAGCAGGGAAGGGCATACGAATGGATCCCGAGAAGGTGAAGGCTATTAAGGAATGGGAAGCCCCAACTACAACCAAGGGAGTACGAGGCTTCTTAGGTTTTGCAAACTTCTACCGGCGCTTTATAAAACATTATTCACAAATTGTCCTACCCCTCACAGCTCTGACTAAGAAAGACTAGCCATTTATATGGTCATCTGACGCCGAAGACGCCTTTTAGCACCTTAAGAGGATCTTTACTACTGAGCCCACACTAGCACAATTCGACTTTAATAAGCCTACTCGAATAGAGACTAATAGCTCTGGCTGGTGTGTAGGAGGAACGCTCTTACAACCCAATTCTGACGGCTTATTCTTACCATGTGCCTTCTTCTCAAAGAAGCTCTTCCTAGCTGAATGCAATTACGAGATATACGATAAGGAGATGCTTGCCATTATACGGTGCCTAGAGGAATGGGACTTAGAGCTAAGAGGACTTTAAGGCTTTGAAATACTCTCTGATTACAAGAACTTGGAATATTTTATGACTGTACGGAAGCTCACAGAACGCTAAGTTCGATGGTCTCTCACACTCTCTCAATTTAACTTCAAGATACGACATATAGACGGCAAAGACAACGTACTAGCAGACGCCCTCTCTTGTAGAGACTAAGACCTACCAGCCAATGATCAAGACAATCGAGTACAGGAACGGCAACTTCAACTCCTTAAACCTCACATGATCCAGCTAGACGAGAGCCCTATGCCGGCGGCCACCATTCGAGTAGCCCCCGTGGCCCTAGAGACTCCCTTTGAACTCTTTATAGACTGGGACCAGGCTATTGAGCACGATGAAGAGCTTTACATAGTACACAAAGCCGTACGAGAAGGGCATCGTAAACTCCCTCCTAGCCTCTTACTCAAGCTATCTATAGCCGAATGCTCTATAGTTGACGACCGCCTTATGTTCCGAAATCGATTATGGGTCCCAAAACGGCTCCGAACTGGCCTTATACAAGCTACCCACAACTCTCTAGTTCACGTACACCCCGGCCGAGAAGGCCTATACGCTATATTAGCCAGACAATACTTTTGGCCACGAATGGGAGACGATATCAGGCAGTTTACTAGGAATTGTGACTCTTGTGGTTCAAATAAGTCCTGGCGTACTAGGAGACAGGGATTCTTAAAGCCACTGCCTATTCCAGACCGAATTTGGGCTGAAATATCAATCGACTTTGTCACAGAGCTACCAGAATCAGAGGGCTGCACTACGATGGTTGTTATTACTAATAGGCTTAGCAAAGGGATTGTAGCAGGAGCACTCCCCGAGCTTACGGTCGAAGCTTTAGTGAAATGGTTCCTTCGAGCCTATTACCCCCACCACTTTCTACTTTCGGCTATAGTCTCCGATAGAGGCAGTCAGTTTACTAGTGCCTTTTGGAAACGACTCTGCGATCAACTCAAAATCACTAGACGACTCTCTATAGCCTATTCCCCTGAGACAGACGGATCTACTGAGAAAGCTAATGATACAATCAAGACAACGCTACGAGAACTCATTGATTGGGCCCAAGACAATTGGGTAGAAGTTCTGCCTATAGGAATATTAGCAATCAATGGCCGTAATGCTACGTCTACAGGCGTTAGTCCCTTCTTTTTAACGCATGGCTGGGA